TGGCTCTCGCGGCGGGTAGGGTGGGGTGCCGACAGCATCTGCGTAGCATGGAAGGTGTCACAGGGCGGCGGACATGGCCCTGATGGCAGGCTAGGCCTAGGAGACCCTATATGCGCATGATTTAATTGTGTGCTGGGCCTCTAGTAGATGTAGAATGAATTTACTCCAATATGATATATAAAGTTTCATACACTGTTTATAGAATTTATTTGGAATTGCTACATACCCATGCATCATTACTTTTAGTTTTATGTATCAGCCTTTTCTCCCACATGTAGATAGTAAATCTCTCAAGGGCAATACCTGCCTTTAGATATATTGGAATCTCTTAGACCAGACACAGTGGCTGTACACAGTAGGTACTGATATTTTATCAGTGCCCCTGAAATGGTGATTTCCTTCTGGCATCCAGGATACTCATTATTGTTGATGGCAAATACTTCTTACACCATCCAGTGTCCGTTGAGAATAAATGCACACCCAGTCCATACTTATTGAGCAAAATGTGAACACCCTGGCCAGTATTCAGTAGTGTAGGCCTAGTAGAATGTGTGAACATAAATTTGTTGCATGCAAGTTATAGCCACAGAATGTGCTTTTGGGCTATAAAGAAAGAGATTAGAGATTTTTTTAAAAGTCTTCTCAATTCCAAAGACAGGCTGTAGTTCAAGTAAAATTTTGTTTAGGGCCCTTAGTCAGCCGTGCCCAACGTCTTATATTTGATGTCCAAAGATTCAAGCAAGATTATGGGGGGGGAAAGTGACAGGAAAAAATCCTCATAGGACTTCCTGTGACAGGTCAAAGTTTAATCACAGCAAATAATGCAGATTTCCCTTCTATTATAAGCACAATAGAAAGGCAGGGCTTGTGTTTCCAAAGCATGTTGTTTGGGAGACCTTTGTAAATGATAATCTTTGGAAATCCCAAATTTATTGGATGTAATCCCATCCATTAGATGAAGACAACTTGCCTATGCAATAGATCCAGAATAGCAAGTTAGAGAACACGGACAGGAAGCAATCATTAAGAATTACAATGGGTAGGATGCAGAGTTAATTCACGGAGATGTTTTGTTATGAGATAATTACATCATCGGGACAGCTGGAAAGCGGCGTGCTGTGCTGGACCACAGTGCTTGCTCCGGCCCTGCAGCTGGGGGTCAAGACAATAGAGACAGTGAATTACTTGATGAGATAGTGGGGGGCTTGGCTGACTTAATTGTGCCTCTTCTGGATTGTGTTTTCACAGCTAAACTGGATTCATGGACTCAGTAAGTGCTGAGAACCCCTTTTCACTTCTACTTTTTTAAAAATAACTTTTGAAGATATATTTTTATTGATTTCATGGCAGAAGGGAGAGGGAGATAGGAGCATCAATGATGAAAGGGAGTCAGTCATATATTGGTTGCTTCCTTCATGCCCCCTGCTGGGGATGGAGCCCTCAACCCAGGCAGTGCCCTGACCTCCTGATTTATGGATCAGCGTTCAACCACTGGGCCACACTGGCCAGGCCACTTCTACTTTTTGAACATTCACTTGGGTCACATTAAGCGACGCTCTAATGGATAAATACTGAATGGTAGTTTCATTTCCTCTCAAAGTAATCTGAGATATTGCTCATATTCAACACAGTGTGGTTATATTTCTCTTACGAAACTGCAGTTATTGAAATGGTATTTTTGTCAGTTTACTGAATAGCAAAAAAAAAAAGTTTAAAAAGTCTTGAGATGGTACTCAACACAAGGAATCATACAGTTGAAGTTATTTTCCAGTGTTTGTTCAGATGTTCAGACCTGTCTGGCTCTTTGGGTTTACAGGTGTAGAGGTTGTAGGCAGCCTGGCCACATCCTCATTGGTTTGTATAAATATATTACAGATTGTTGCCCTCTTGCCAAATATCAGCAATTTCATTTCTTGTTTAGCTCAGTTACTTATGTGAGATTTGCATCTATTTTCTCTTTATTTCCCACCAAAGTGCCTGTTATTTGATTTGTGGTAATTCCAGAGGGAGTCTTTGTAGATGAAAAAGCATCATGTATATTATATTCTAAAATGCTTAAGATTAATATTTATAACTGTTGAGTCGCAAGACATTTTTCTACCCATTATGACTGATATAAATTAATTTTTACTCTGATAATGTTTACTGAACAATTAAGTCAAACTAAATTTCTTATTTAAGTGAAAAGCAATATTTCCCAGTACTTCTGTGGAGTGCTGGGCTATAGGATGTTGATACCCAACATTAGAACCAAAAAGGGGGTATTCTGCAGGTCCTCCTAGGACTTTTACTTCCCTCGATGTCACTTGTGAATTTAGGAAGAGAATGTAATACGCTCCATTTCCCACATGAAATTAATAACGCCACCTTTAAAGAGGATTATCTCCTTGAACAGCATGAGCTGCTCCTACCTCACACCATTCTTTTTGTAGCCTGGAATATATATATACATTAAAATTCATATAAGAAGATTCCACACTGTATACTGTGACACATCTCTTTAAAAATTCCACTTTTTAAAAATTGCCAGTTAAAATTAAGGCCTTTCAAATTGGCAGTTACAAAATAGTTATGGGGATATAAATTTCAGCATAGGGAATAGAGGCAATAATGTTGTAGTAGGTATACTAGTATATGGGGACAGGTGGATACTGGAAATATCAGGGGGAACATTTTGTAAAGTATCTGATTGACCACTATGATGTATGCCTGAAACTAATACAGAATAATACTGAATGTAAATTGTAATTGAAAAATAAAAATTTAAAAATAAATAAAATAAAAATAGGGCTTTTTGTCAAAATGGTGAGTCTTAAGTATTTTGAATAAAGTGATATAACTTTGAGGAAAAGTACTTGGGTGGGTTAGATGTTATTCTTCTATTGTGTCATACAAAGAGTGCTTGCAAACGGTTTCATGAGCTGAAGCAACATTATATGCCAGGGCTGTTTGGTAACTTAACGGTTTGAGAGCAGGTGACTGTGGCTCAGCAGTGTGTTATGATCACTTCATTCTCCAGTTATGTCCCAGTCAAACGTTTCTTTTCCTTTTGGAAAGTACTTAAATGTCTTACATATTAAAAACTCTAAGTGCAATAAGAACTAGAGTTACTGAAATCATTGCCGCCAGAAGCAGTGGTAGACACTGTGTCTTCATTGAGGAAATGTAATGGGAAGCATGTTTAAAGGAACGTTTATGAAGCACAGGAGCAGTGGTGAAGCCCCACGTTTGACCTTGAGTTTGGTATATTCCATCTTTGGTTCATTGCTATTTTATTTTATTACAAAAATAGACGCAGCAGATAGGAAGAAGCTTGGTTATTTGGAACTCCTTTTTCTTCCAAAGGAAATAAAAAGTGAAGCCATCAAAGTCTATGAGTCTAATGGGAAGAAGTTGGTTCTCAGGAGCCTGTGAATACATGATAGGTTACTCGGAATTCCCCAATTTATAGAGTTGTTTTGATAGATGTCTCGGGTGTCAGATCCATGCACGATAGCAATTATGTTTTTTCATAGTGTGGCACTCAGATGTCTTATGATACTTTCTTTAATACATTTACTAACTAGGAGTTTTTACTTTATCAGAAGAGTGTTCCAGAATAAGTCACATTGGTGACGTTGGAAGAGTTTAGAATGTAGAAAAAATAACTTTGGAAGTAGATGATTAAAACTTTAACCATCAGAATATTTGGAAGTAGATAAATGTGAGGAAGAAATTCAGTTGATCTTAGTGGATTTGAATGGAGTTGTAGAACTCACCTCAAACTGCCCATAATTAAAAAGTAGTTTGAATCTGGCTGTGAAGTGTGTGTGGTTGGTGGTGGTATTGTTCACCCCACTAAATTTAACTTACAGTGTTCTTTAGTTTAACATTGAGTTTAGATTCACAGAGAATATTGTGGGTCCCATACAGCCTAGAGACATACAGTCGGGTGGTATGGTAGCCAGGTAGGCATTAAAAATTTAACAGAGGTAATATACAAAGTGGATAATTGAGAGTCAACCCTGCATTTTAGTAATTGGGTTATGTGCACATTTATAGTTAGTCCCTTTAAAGAGTGTTATTAAGTTTTTAAAATGAAAGAAAATAATATGAATAACATTTTATTAGCCTTTTCTGAGTGTTTATATTACATCCTTGTCAAGAAATTTACTGACATCTTGTTTATGAGTGGCTTAATTCTTCAAACAATTGCTGAACATCTCATGTACTAGAGAGTGTACTTTTATGACTGAAATCAAAGGAAAATGTGTCTTTGACTCAATTGTTTTGCTGCTGAAAACTTTGTTTTCAAAACTTAAATTTTGAATTGGTGTAGGATTTTATGAAAGAAATTGAATTCGCCCAGCCGTACTTGATCATGAAGTTGGTTAGTCTGTCTTTATCATTCAAGGTGACATAGTTTACCAATGCAGTTTCTTCCCTTGAAAAAGAAAGTTCGAATTTTACAGTTTTAATGAGCATGATATTTGGAATTTTAAAGCTAGGAATGTATACCCTTTCTAGGGAAATCATTTGATTGACCAGGATGAGAAGGCTCTCTTAGAAATAAACCAAATTTCTCCATATTCCATCCTACTTATTTTCACAGACATGATTGTTCACACCTTAAATTCCAGGGAAAACTTCATTGCAAAGTTCAGCATCTCCAAAGAATGCTCAGTCAGTCTTTTTAATAATTCTCAAACTGTGAGCTAAGAAGAACCATGTTTTTCCTAGGCTGCAGTGTTTAAAACTATCAGCAGCAGCAAGGCCCACCTAAGGTCTTAAATAAGGAAACACTCCACAAAGATATTCTCAGGCTCCATTTGCCTTCCTTTCTCTTTGCTACTGTGTGTCAAGTCCTATTGGGTATCCTTACAAATTACCACAGAAATGGTCAACACTGGCCCTGTTTTTATTCCTGTTTGATCAAAATGAGGGACATATATATGTAAGATGTACAGGTTATTTCTTTGCTTATTGCCACCTACTTACACTCTCTCTCTTTTTCCTTTTAGGTTATTCGATGTGTGCACGGTGTCACGAACAGACAGAGAAACTAAACTAACATTAGTGTTTGAACATGTTGATCAAGACTTGACCACTTATTTGAATAAAGTTCCAGAGCCCGGAGTGCCCACTGAAACCATAAAGGTACCAAGAATCGTCTTTTTGCCTGGTCAAACAGTCACACAATTATAGTCTATTAAGCAATGGCATTCTTTCCTTTATGAAAATTGCCAGAATTGGAGCTTTTGGAACTCAGTGTATAGATAAATATATTTTATATAGCTAAGTGGGATATATTGTAGTTCATTAATGTTAGGGCTCAGTGGAAAAGCCTTTAGTTCTTAATACCTTTATTGAAAAATATCTATTTGTTAATTATGTGGCCCTAACTTTGGAAAGTATAATGCAGTAAATACAGCTCAGTGTTTTTCTGATGATTCATGGACTCTGAGAGATATAATCTGAAACATCATATGTGAGCACATTAGATATTTTACTTGTATATTGACTCCAGGATATACCATGCTATACAAATCGGAAATACTGGTCTCAGGCCCTTCTTTCTTCAATTTTTCTCATTAATAAAAACATTTATAGGAAGCTAGTGCTAAGGACCATCCCAAACTCTTGGGATTTAAGGATGACTTTAGGTTTTTTAGAAGTCAGCAAGCTAAATGCAGTGTACTGACTAGAAATTCTTTCTTCCTTTAAGTCTAATGGAAAAAGCTGCTTATAAAATTAGTTGGTGTCTTCGTTCACTTAACTGAACTTCCCAGTAGGTCTTTTAGATCTGTGCACATCATGTGCAGATTTTCATGAAGACCCTTTGTTTCTGTGAATTAGGTGACTTAATTAAGCAGATTCCTTATCTTATTCGTTGTTTATAAATGAGTTAAATCATATTTATAGGAATAAACAGATGAAAATAGTTTACCTTTTTTTTTAAAAGACAAATCGTCTATATTATTTTTTAAAAATATATATTTATATTGATTTCAGAGAGGAAGGAAAGGGAGAGAGAGAGATAGAAACATCAACGATGAGAGAATTATTGATCAGCTGCCTCCTACACGGCCCCCATTGGGAATTGAGCCCACAACCCAGGCACGTGCCTTGACCAGGAACTGAACCTTGACTTCCTGGTTCATGCTCAACCACTGAGCCATGCCAGCCCAGCAAAAAATAGTTTATCTTTTAAACAGAGTTAAGAAATGTCTTTTAATGATAGCAAGTGGTATTCCCAGATACTGACATGTAGAACTTGATTTATTCCTTTGGTTTTAGACTAATGTAGAATTTACTTTCTCCCATCTGCCTTTCATAAAAGAATATGGTGCTCAATAATTATCCCATTTCTTTCTGAGCAGTTTTAAGGACATTAGATCTCTTTAAATGTAGGTATTCCTAACTACCTGTTCTTGCTCCTCTTCTAACTCTGTACCCATCTTTCCTCTCAAATTCTGTTCCATTGACTTTAGTTTTCTTCTTTTTGAGTTTGTCTTTGTGCTCAATACCTATTTGTTAGAAGAGAGCGCATGATAGGCTTATTTTCCCATTTACATATATCACATAACAATGTTTCAAGTTCTTTTAAATACCTTTTGGGATTTTTTTAAGGCAGAAAAACACCCTAAGTATTTGTGATGGTTGATAGTTGGGTGAACTCATTGGGGAAATCTTGTAATTATTGCATAATGCTCATGTCAGTCTTTGATAAAGTAAGTTAAGGGTATAATCCTGAACTGATCATTGTCATTGAGAGGATCGTGAGAATAAAATAAAACCATAGGTGTTTCTTTCCAACATTTTAAATTGCACCTTAATTCTAAAAAAAATTAATAAACACATATAGAAAGCTTATTCATACTTCGTCTTGAGGTTTTCATCACATTCTTTAATCTCTTTTCTTGATGTCCCAAGATATAGCCATTCATGTGGATGGTGACCTTTGCTTAAAAAAGCTTCATGCCTACTGTACTACGAAGTCACCAAATACCAAATGTTGTCTCATAGGCTTATCATTGCCATATCTTGCTTTCCTCTTTCTAATTCAGAAGTTATTTTTTTATCTACTTAACTATAGAGGACTTCATTGCTATCTTTGTTTAATTTTTATTTGATCATTTGAGATTTGATATTGTCTTGGACTTTCATGTTTAATTAAACTTATAGGCAGGAACACTTTTAGGGTTCATGATAAATTTTTAGTGTCTTTGCTTATATAGCACCTTCCATTTATGGGGACTTCATGAGAAAAAAAGGGGGGGCTTTCAGATTGTTATTTTTTCTCTTTCATGCCTTTATCTGCCACCCTATGAGAAAGGATCAGAAAGAACTGTAGACAAATTCCTTCCCCTTGTTCCTCAGTCATTTGTTAACTGCCTCCCAGAAAAAGAACCACTCTATGACAGGATGTATACAGGGAGAGGCTCCTGTGTAAAATCATAATGCTTTCAAAAAGTAATGCCCTCTTTTTCTGAACTGTCATTTGGTACTTAGGCCTCCCTTTAATAGTACATTATCTTTCCTCGTATAAGACCTGGCTTATCGACTATCTAATCAAGTCTTTGAGAGCCTAATATTCTTTGGACATTCTGTGAATGCAACATGCTTGATGAAGTTGGCAATATAATTTCACAAGTAGGAATTCGAAGACCCTGAAAGGGCACACAAAAGATCAGCCACCTCTCCAGAACAGGGCAGGGCTCTTTTAGTGCAAGACCATATGGCCTCTTTGGATGACTCAGTCCTGGAATAGAAATTATATTTTATTTATGCATCTTTGACAAATGAATTCTCTAGGGTTTGAGAAAGCCGAAAAGGTTTGTGTGTCTGCATGGGTCATTTTCTCTGTGAAATTACATTTCATTTTATCTTCAGTTGAATGTTTCTTAGAGATTTCTGTTGGTTGTAATAGTTTCAGTCAGAGATTACATGTACTATTAGGTTTGTTTAACAAAACCCAGACTTCAGAGGCTGACACACACTCCTAATAGCACCTGTTTTCTGCCTCTGGGCAATATCTGTTTTAATGAATAATATCTGCCTGCAGTAAACAGTGGCTCTGGTGTCAATAGGGGATGCGCGGGGCTGGTTCATCTTTTTAGAGCTGACATAATGGGAAGTGACTGACCGGTCCCCTGTACTGCAGAGGAGGAAAGTCTCCCAGAGCTTCCCTCCTCTCACCCCAAAGGAATCGAGCCATGGCCCCTCTCTGCTCCTGGTGGTCTCCACTTTGCCTGAATTATGGGCAGGTGATCTGTCTCATCTTTGCAGGACGCAGAGCAAATTAACATGAAAATATCGCTTCTCAGAAAACAAGGCAGGCTTGAATGCCCTGTCGCTGCTGGTCATTAGCCATCTGCCACCAGCACTCATACTCTGTTTATCACATTTGAAATTCAGAGCAGATGTTGCATAATAAGGTGATCTTAAAAACAAGGCAAGAGACTCAAAGAACAGATACTTCACCATAACAATAAAGATCCTGGAAGGAAATTCTTTTCAATCTAATGTCATGACTGGAGTAATCGAAGAGACCATGTTTTTTAAACCCACGCGCACACATCTCTCCTTATATTTAATGCGAACTGCTTTTCGTAGTAACATGGAATAAATTGAAAAGAAAGTGCATATGTGAAAGATGCCTGAGAAGACTGTTTAATAAGTTTCATTTTAATAAGCAAAGTGGGATGTTGCAATAGTAGTTCTGGTGCAAAAGACTTCAGAGGTCAGCCTTTTACTCTAAGATGGGCCTCAACTTAGAGCATTTTGACTTCCTATAGTTCACTCCTATAGCACAGCTGGATCTCTTAAGACTCGTAGCTGGCCAGCATGGTTTCCCTGAAAGTCTGTTTTTTTATTGGCCCTCAAGATCCTATGTACCCCATACCTTCTCTCTCTCTCTCTCTCTCTCTCTCTCTCTCTCTCTCTCACACACACACACACACACACACACAAACACACACACACACACACACACACACCATGCTTTCCTAGCCTCTGTGTAGCTGGGCCGCAGTTTCCTCTTCACTTTTTACAACCTGAGTCCTAAGAGTCTTCCATGTAATTGCACTCCCCTTCCACATTAGTGTAGCATTTTAAAAGATTGATTATTGTAATATTCTACCCAACCAAGTTTTGCACATTCTCTACCCTTATTATGCCCTATAAAAACACATTACTCATAGTGTATTACCTACTGTGCTTAGAGGCATTCTGGTTTTTAAAAAAACAGGTATCTGAACTGTTATCAGGAATGTAACCTATATTATAGTTTTTCTTTGAAGAAAGTTAGCTTCAAATATAGTCTTTTGACTCAAAGGAAACATTTTCTCCACACAAACCAGACCCTCATGCACACCCTTACTTGTGTATGTCCTCCCCCACCCCCCACACACAGAATTTGGGGGGATTTTTTAAAAGAGGAACCTCAGATATATTGCTAAGCAAAAGTTAAGCAGCCAGTCTGAGAAGGTTAAATCAAAGTCACACCAGCAATTGGCCATTGACTCCAGTAGGAGAGATAGATGACCAGAAGTGAGTCAATACTGAGTTTACCCCAGATTTAGGGGGAAATGTAGGACGAGTGAGCTACAACTGTGGTACCTTTCAATAATTCAAGAAGCTTCTTCAGAGAATAATATTTTTAGATCATCTAACTTTGAGGTTTCTTCCAGAAATAAATCTTAAAGCAGTTTCCTGGGCCCTTGTAATAGCTGAATTCATATCTGGAGAAAGAGGACAGAATTATGCAAATATACTTATCTAAAATATGTAATAAAAAAGTATAACAGTTATTTAGTGGTTTGGATTTTTTTTCTAAAAGGAAATATGGGTTAAAAAGTAAAAGCTAGTGTCATTCTAAAGGTACTGCTAGGCTGACTCACTAAAATAAATAATGACTAACTAAAACAAGCAAATGACACTTTGATCAAGCTCAGTTGGAATCTCTTTAGAAAATACTCTCTCACCTTAGGCATTGGATCTGTTTGTAGAGTCCATTAAAAAGTTACCAGCAGTATATACCCAGTCTATATCACCATAGCGACAGATAGCAGAGCGATGCTCAGTATAGAAGAGGGATCATTCTCATCCAAGTTTAGCATGTGCCTAACCCTCCTGGTTACAGTCTCCTTTCTGGG